CCTTGTCATGACCTAGTGACTTCTCTTCCCAGCTAATTACTCCTTCTCTCTCCTCTTTTTCTATTCCCCTTCCTCCTCCTCACTTCCTATCCCTCGGCTTCTGAGTCACAAGGGCAAGCATGGCGCCCGTCCCCTGCCTGGTTTGTCACTGTACGCCCAGGGGCCATCACAGAACCTGGACGCAGAAAGGCAATGAAGCTTCTGTTGAATGACGTACACTCATTCCTAGAGTGAAGTCATCTATAATAAACTGACACTATCACCTCTCTGGTACCACCTTTTAATCTCCATCTAATGCTAGAACAATCTCTTTATCAAAGAACCACAGATCTAAGTACCCAGAAATGAGCTTTGATTCCAAGTCCAGGACTCGCCTTGTTCAAAGCAGCAAGCTATTTGTCTCCCAGGCGGGCACCCTTTCAATACTAGTTGCCTTCTGTTCTCTCAAGCTAAAAACCTTGCAGCCCTGCTTCGCGCCTGCCCCCCCACCCCCCATCTTTATGCTCTATGTGATTTACAAACCTACGGGTTGTGTCTTTCCTCTGAAAGGTGTCTCAGGCTGTGCCTCTCTGCACTAATGCCATTAACTGATGAGCAGTCCCACCTCCTTTGCTATATTTTACTGTGGAGAAACTAAATCTTCTCCTTTCTAATATATTTTGTTAAGTTTATTTACTTATTTTCAGAGAGACAGAGACCACACAAGCAGAGGAGGGGCAGAGAGAGAGGGAGAGAATCCCCAAGCAGGCTCCGCACTGTCAACACAGAGCCCGGTGAGGGGCCTGAACTCATGAACCGTGAGATCACAATGTGAGCCGAAGCCAAAAGTCAGACACTCAACTGACTGAGCCACCCAAGTGCCCCAAATCTTGTTCTTTTGAATATACTTACTTACATATTTGGATTTAAATGCTTTGTTTGTCCATACTTCCTGTTTCATATTCCTTTATCTTTCCTTTCTTGTCTTTTCCAAAAAAAATCATTCAATTTTTTCCCTTTTTAGCTGGTTTACTATACATTATTTTACTCTCATTGCTCATCCTAGAGATTATTAAAACATGTATCCTTGACAATATAAGGACCTCAAAACAGTTGAAACTCCTCTACCCCAAATTCCTTTCATGTACAACTGTTGCCATAGTTTTAATTCTTAATACATTTTGAACATCATAATATGTTATTGTTTTTATGCAGTCAAAATTCATTTAGACTGACCTACACGTTTACCCTTTCTAGGACTTTACATTGCCAGGTTTCCGCGTGAGAACATTTTCCTTCTCCGGGCAAAACAGTGCTCAGTTTTTCTTTCAGTGGGGGTTTTGCTTGATTTCATTCTATTGTATTCTGACTTAACTTTGTTTACATTGAGAAATTAACTGAAAGTCAGTGCGGTGCTCCCTCTCTCTCTTCTTTACAGATTTGTTTGTTATCTCTGTGCCCAATGTGGGGTTCAAACTCACGACTCCAAGATCAAGAGTTGCATGCACCACTGACCGAGCCAGCCAGGAGCCCCTGCAAGTCAGTGTGACTCTCTTGAAGGTCATATCCTTTGGCTACTTAAAAATTTTACTTTTTATCTTCAGGCCTCCGCATATGTTCACATATGGCTGACTCTGTGTTTACCATGCCTGGGAATCACAGTGCTTCCTGAATCTGAAAAACCTTATTGTTTCTCTTTCCTTTACCTCTGTGGCTCCAGTTACAAATATGTTAGATATCCTCGCCTTCCTCCATCTTTCTCCTGGATTCTTTTCTGTATTTTCTAAACCTTTGTCTCTCTGTGCTTCAGTCTGGATATTTACTTCTGATCTTTCTTCCAGTTCACTAATTCATCTTCAGCCGTGTCTAATCTGATATAAAACTCATTAACTGAGCTTTTAATGCAGTTCTAGAATTTCTATTTTTATATTTCCAACTCTTCTTAGATCAGTCTTATCAAGGAATTCCTTGAACATGTTAATCATGATTAAAGTCTGATAATTCTTGAACTCTCTGGGGTGGCTCAGTTGGCTAAGCATCACGGGATTTCGGTTCAGGTCATGGTCTCAGCTGAGGCTGTGGGATCGAGCCCCGTGTAGGGCTCTGCACTGACAACGTGCAGCTTTTTTCAGATTCTCTCCACTCACCCCCTCTCAAAATAAATAAATAAACTTTAAAAAAGTGAAGTTTGAAAACTCTAACATCAGGATTCCCTACGGGTTTATTTCTAAGATTGTTTCTGTTAGTTTCTAGTTATGTCTTGTTTTGTATGCTTGATTTTTTTAATAGAAAACTAGAAATCATATATGAAAAATTCTAGAGAGAATTTTCCCCCAGAAACAATTCGTTTTTGTTTCTGAAAGGAAGTTAGGCTAGAAGCATTAGCAATCTTAGATCACCATAATCCACCCAGGGCTTTAAATTACATCAATCCGGGCTTCAGTTCCTGTGAGGGTTGGTGTATTTCCAGTTTTCCTCCCTTCTGGGGTTGGTCCTTTGTACTTGCAATCAAAAGTCTAGGATATGACCAATATTCATCTCCCGCCCTGGCAGCCTGACTGCCTTTGGCCTCCCTATGTCCACTGACCTATGAAAATGCTGCTTAACTTCAGCTACTCCTTTTAGAGGCTACACGTATCTCTACGGAATGAGCAACACCGAATATCAGGCTCATCGCTCTGGGCTTCCCTTCTCTCCAGCATCGTGGCCCCACAATCCCTCACTGCCTTGGTCGCCTTCCAGTCCCTCAGACAGAGTTTTGCTTTGTTTTGTACAACTTCTTGAGCTGTTCTCAGTAGACAGTTGAAACAACCCATTCTACCATATGGGAAGCTCAACTCTCCTTTATTATTCATTTTGTCATCCCATGTCATCCAGTGGATGGCTTTCAGAGCCCTCTACATCCACACCAAGCCCTCTTTATCCAAATGAGAACATAGGCTTTGGGGTTGGATGGGTTTATGTCTAAACTGTGGCTTTACCTCTACTTACAGCTATGTAGCATTGGAGGAGTTACAGAGCTTTTCCAGAATTCACTTGTAAAAGAAGGCAAGTAAAACCTGCTTCAGGGTCATTGAGATTAAATAATACGGGTAAAGAGTTCGGCACAATCCCTAGTACATAGTAAGGTTAGCACTTATTGAGCATTAGTATCACTATTAGTTCTATTAATAATAACTCGTAAATCCTTCTGTTCTCAAAACTCATCAGTCCATTTACTCTTTGGTGAAATACGTGTACACACTTTCACATTCATAGCTTGTTCACACTAGCTTTCAATGTTCCCTTTTCCTAATGTAATCCAACATGTTCCTCAAGGCCTAAAATGGAGTTCCACATTCCCCAAGGTATGCCCTGAATTCAAAATCCATACTAATGTGTACTTGCTCTAATTCCTATTGAATTTAGCGGCATAGTTCGTCCACTATTCCCTCTGTTAGTCTTTTCCTAAAACTAGATTACAAAGTGCTTACAAAAGCTGGCCAGGTACTCATATCCTCTACAATACATCCAGTATAACACCAAACACAGAGGAGGTTCTCAAGATGTGTGCATGGTTCAGGATTGAAAAAAGTTCTTCATATCCCTTAGGCGTTGTATAAATTAATACTGAAAAGCCCAAAGAATGGGACACAGAAGGACACAGGTAGAAGAAAAGGAAATGAGTAGATAAGCACATCAGAAAAAGAAAGTACTTCTGGTAAAATATTTACTGAAGTCTTTCACTGTAGGTATAACTTCAACTAACCTAGTTGCATTATTTTAAAATGTCAACTCAAAGTCCAAAGTTGCATTTTTACAATTCAAAGTTTAGAGTGTAACAGGAACTTTCTGGTTCCTTTGAGAAGGTCCTTCTCTTCCCTACGGGGGAAAAAAAAATAAAACCCTAACTAGTTCAAGAAGTTGGCTAACAGCGATCCAGGAAAGAATACACCCTGGGTATAAGTAGTGAACACTGTAATAGCCTGCTTTACTGATGTTCAAAATGACTTGCTCAGGAGAATAAGAACAAAATGTACTTTTGTGAAACAGGACCTGGGATTGCAATTCTTTGACATTTTTTGAGTCTTTAATTTTTTTATCCCAAGTACAGATGACATACTAAATGCTTCCTATGGTAACACAATAACAGTAAATACCTTAATGTTTTATAAAGATTATTTCCACAGGATTCATGCTACTCTTACAAGGCACCTTTTTAGTATATTTTCTGCTTGAATACCACTTTTTTCCAATCAATACTAAAGGAACTATACCGCTAAAGTAACTCTAAAGTAAAAACAGCTCACTCTATAAATCATCCCATCTCTGACAATTTCTGCCTTCGCCCCTGCCCCACAAACCTGGTATTTTATGGACAAAAAAATTGTGTTTTGCTATTTGTAAGTAGAATGATACCTTCTAGTGACTGTATTTATTTACAACAGAACGGCAAGTGACAGCGTCATTTAGTGCAACTGCCTTGTGTTAAGAGTACGCTAAAATATACTCACGGTCATTTACAGTTGAGTAAGATGTGATACCTAATGTTGGTGTATTTGAGATTCTGAGGTTTTGAACCCCTGCTGAAAGAGCCAAATGTGTAGAAGGAGCTCACATTTCGAGACTTATTTTCATAACCTCAGAGGAGTCCATTAAAATTACAAACGGGAAGAACAAGTACACAGTACTTTACAGAGAGAGGACTGCGAGCGTGTATAATTTGGAGTTTCGAAGGGAGGAGAGGAGATTCCTTTAGGTGTCAGAAACAGCAGGGGCCAGGAAACCGTGCCGGCAACACAGAACCACTCGCGTACTACAAATAGTCAGGGAGAGGGGAAAGCAGGGTAAAGAGAGAATTCAAGATGCGAATAAATATCTGTAAATAACTAACAACTGCATTTCTTAGAGGACTCTTCTCCCCATCCCGTCAGAGCACACAGAAAACAGGACCGCGTGCTTCTGCAGCCAGACATTTTAGAGTGACAGTGTTTGCAAGTGGAGAAAGGCCTTGCATTTGACATCCATGAACAACAGCTTACCCACAGCATTGTAGAGAGGCTCCCCAGTTAACTTGTCCCAGACTACGGTGGTTTCCCTCTGGTTACTGACACCAATAGCTTTAAAGAGAAAGTTAAACAGAAGGGAGGAGAAAATTAAACAAGTGGAAAACTACTTCAGGAGAAAGGTTCTTTTTAAAAAAAAAAACAGTTCTTTTCACATGCATAACTAAACTTAACAGTTTGAAAACATATTTGGCACTTTTGTAGTGGTATTGAATGTACTGTCTTTGAGTGGCTCCATGAGAAGTGAACAACCGACGTCAAGGGCTTCTTTTTATTCCTACAGGCTGCTTCCCACTTTACGACCAGCCCATGACAACATGGACCCAGATCAATACCTTATAAAAAGGGAAAGCAATCAATTCCAAATTTACAATACCCAATTTATTATTCTATAGAGACCAACAATCACCTCATTAATTTATTTACTAATTGCTATAAGCAATTTCTGTGTTTGTGCATGCACGCATGCCTGCATTTTAAGAAAATAGCTACAGATGAAATCCTTCATGCTAGGCAACTATACATTATGGTTCTTTAGAAATTGTTTTGTTCCTGTATTTTAAGATGTTATAAGACATACAAATTTGAATCGGGCGTAAATACAATATGCGATGGCAGTGACATTATACTGACTTACACAGAACTCAAATGCTATAGTTACAGTTAAAATGCTAATGCATAGCATTTTATTCAATTTACCTTGATTCGGCTAAATCAGAGGTTCTCAGACTTGGCTGTACATTGGAATCAACTGGAGGGCTTCTGAAAAAATACCAGTGTCTACTCCACAGCCCAAACATTCCAATTTAACTGACTGGGACAGGAGCTGAACATTAGTATTTTTCTTCAACTCCCCCGGCCAAGTGATTCTATGCAGCCCAGGTTGAATGACTGACCTAAAGGATCGAGCTGTTCCAGAATGTAAGGTGAGGACCTACTTTAAAGGCTATATAATCAACAACACATCTTTTGCTTAAATCGCCCCGAGAACCACTTGTCATGTGACCGTTCAGATAGAACTTCTAGTGACAAAATACTCCCTACCTCTCTCAAGACAGATCAATCTCTGTTCACAACTTTGGTATTAAAAAAAATCCCTTTCCTTGGAGCTTTAAGTATTCCCTGTGCCCAGCACAGGACTCGAACTCACAACCCCCAAGATCAAGAGCCAGATACTCTACCGACTGAGCCATCCAGGCACCTTTCCACATGGCAAGATTTGAAGGGCCTTCACCAACTCTCCAAGGAACACACAACTTCCTGTCCGTATTGTTCAAGCTGTACGCCCAGAATAAAACAGAACAGGAATGCCCTGACCAGTGCAGAGCTGAGGGGGAGCAACAGTTGCCTTGTTCGAAATAATCTTTTCTTTAAAGCTCAAAACAAGTTTATTTTAAAATCAATACACTAAAATCTAAATTTAAAAACGTGATTACTTAGAATTTGCTGTAAGGAGACTGTATGTGTAATAGAGAGCAATGAAAACTGGCCTACGGAAAATGAATATATACTTTTTTATTGAGGTGTAATTGACACATGACATTGTACTAATGTTACAGTTTCAGGTACACCGCCTCGCTACTGGCTATGCGTACAGGCTACAAAGCGATCACCAAGGTAGATCTAGTATCATCCTGGCACCACGCAGTTATATAATATGCCCCGCAACACTGTCGGCCATAGTCAGCAGGCTGTACATTATGTCCCTATGACTTATCTATTTTACGACTGGAGTTTGTACCTCACCTCCCTTCTCCCATTTTTCCCCCTCCAACCCGGAAACACCAGTCTGTTCTCTGCATTTATGAGTTTTGTTTCATTTGTGTTGCTTTTTGAATTCTACACACAAATGAAATCATACAGCGTGTGTCTTCCCGTCTGACTCTGGCACACCCTCAAGGTCTATCCAGATCCATGTTGTCACAAATGGCAAGATTTCAGTTTTTATGGCTGAATAATGTTCCATTGTATGTATATACACCATACCTTTTTCCATGCACCCATCACTGAACACAGGTTGTTTCCATGTTTTGGCGATTGTTAAGACTGCAATGTACATAGGGGTGCATATATATTTTTGAATTCGTGTTTTCATTTTCTTTGGACATATACCAGAGTGGAATTGCTAGGTCATATGTTAGTTCTGTTTTTAATGTTTTGAGCAACCCCTGTACAGTTTTCCACAGTGGTCCCACCCAGTTACATTCCCGCCAACGGTACACAAGGGTTCGCTTCCTCTACATCCTCACCAACAGCTGCTATTGTCTTTTTGAAAGTAGCCATTCTGACAGGTATGACACAGTGATACTTCATTTTGGTTTTGATGTGCATTTTCCTGATGATGAATGATGTTGAGCACCTTCTCGTGTGTCTGTTGGCCATCTGTAGGTCTTGTTTTGACAAACAACATCCAGGCCTGCTCATTTTTTACTTAAGACTGTTTGCCACTGAGTTGTAGGAGTTCTTTATAATTTTGGATATGAACCCCTTATCAGATACACGATTTGCAAATATGTTTTCCCATTTAGTAGGTTGCCTATCTTGTTGATGGTTTCCTTTGCTGTGCAGAAGCTTTTTAGTTTGATGTGGTCATTTGTTTATTTTTACTCTTTTTTATTACTGATTTAAATTCCTTGCTAATGATTGGTCTATTCAGATTTTCTATTTTTTCATGATTCAGTCTAGGAAGATTATGTGTTTCCAGGAATGTATCAATTTCTTCTACTGTTGTCTGATTTGTTGACCTATCATTGTTAGTATCATTGTCTTATGATCCTCTGTATTTCTCTGCTATCAGTTGTAACTTCTCTTTCATTTCTTATTTTATTTATTTGAGCCCTTTCTTTTTTCCTTGGAGAGCCTGCTAAAAATTTATCGAAATAACCTTTATCAAGTGCAAATTTACTTACTAGAACAACTTTTCTCAAGGTACAAAGATGACTGAACAGTCCACTTCTAAGAAACTTGGAGGTACAGGGTAAAAGGAAGAGATTTGGATTAAAAGAAATTTTTTTATATGTTTTATTTATTTCTGAGAGAGAGACAGCATGAGCAGGGGAGGATCAGAGAGAGAGAGGGAGACACAGAATCCGAAGCAGCTCCAGGCTCTGAGCTGGCAGCACAAAGCCTGACGTGGGGCTCGAACCCACGAACTGCGAGATCATGACCTGAGCCGAAGTCGGGCGCTCAACCAACTGAGCCACCCAGGCACCCCTGGATTTTTTTTTAAATAGAAGACACTAATGTTTTAGGAATAAAGACAGAAGACAAAGGATCATGTGGGAGACAGGAATGCTAGGAAAGAATGAGATATGGTCCTGATTCTTACAGTGACAGGAAGCGAGAAGATTAATGTACTGGTAGACTGAGGAGCCTCAAGTAAGGAAAGGGTATTGTTTCCCCTGTGATGGCAGGAAATGGGTAAGAGTTCTAGATATTAAGTATAGGAACCAGAAACGAGGAATTAAGGCCCTAGAGCCTCAACTTGCCCTGTGAGGTAGCACACAAGGTTGTCTGCTCCAATGGGGCCAAGCGCAAGTAAAAGCATGAGTTCTGGGTACTATTTAATACAGCTCAGGCTCTGAAACCAGATTGTTGGGGTTCAAATTTGAATTCCTCTGTTTCCCAGCAGCATGACCCTAGATCTCAATCTCAGTTTTATCTTCTGTAAAATAGAAAGAATAGTTTCACTCCCCTGACAAGGTTACAATGAGGAATCCCAGAGTTGATGCATATTACAGAGGTGTCTGGTGCGATGCATGTCACTTACTGCCTCCATTCCTTGTCATCAATACTACTGAGGAGAGAGTAGACGAAAGATTGCAGGGTGAGACTGAGCTAATTAGGACACATAACGGAACTGTCCAGCAGCACTGTGGACACGACAGAGGCCAGAGGACTCAGCGGGACCTCAGCAATGGACTGCTAAAGTGCAATACTGTTAAAATGATACTTTCAGTGACAACTTTACACGGTAGGATCACGATGAATTCACGGGGGAGTGAAATCCCCTATTCTCCCCCCACATTAATTTTCCATCCACAGACTGGCTGCTTTAGCTACAGTCTCAGAGTCACTATCTCATGCCCTTCAGGCTATCTTTCTTCACTGGCTCACTCTCACTTGTGTTCAGAATGAAATCTAGAGCTCTATCTGATTCATTGGTTACAGGTTCCTCCCTGACCACTCCTTCTTTCCCTCCTATCTTAATTTGATTCCTTTGTGCCAAGCAGAACTGCTTTTCTTGCTTTTCTTGTAGACAACCCAAGTCCGGGGAAACAGGTTCCCAGGATTCTCTTGCAGCCATAAAACTATCTCTATGACTGGTTTCTCGCCGGAGCACATAGGCCTGAGGCAGCACCTCTGAACTTTCTCGGTGTACTAACTTCTAGTCATTTTTACCCTAAATTCCTGGGTTTTTTTTAAAGTTTTGTTTTGTTTTTAATTTTTTAAAATTTATTTATTTTTGAGAGACAGAGAGAGAGTATGAGTGAAGGAGGGGCAGAAAGAGAGAGAGAGATACAGAATATGAAGCAGGCTCCAGGCTCTGAGCTGTCAGCACAGAGCCTGATGTGGGGCTCGGATTCACGGACCTCAAGTTTATGACCTGAGCTAAAGTCAGATGGTTAATGGACTGAGCCACCCAGGCACCCCTGAAGTTTCTAGGAACTTTAGAAAAGTTTTTTTTTTTTTTTTTTTAAAGGTAATCTCCACCCCCAATGTCGGGCTTCAACTCACAATCCTGAGATCATGAGTCACATGATCAGGGGCATCTGGGTGGCTCCGTCGGTTTGGTTTAAGTGGTGGCTCAATCAGTTTAAATGTCCATCTTTGGCTCAAGTCATCCTCTCACGGTTCATGAGTTTGAGCCCTACATCGGGCTCTTTGCTGTCAGCCTGCTCCTTGTTCTCTCTCTCTCAAAAATAATAACCTTTTTTTAAAAAAAAGAGCCACATGATCTACTGACTGAGTCAGCCAGGCACCCCTGTGCTTTTTTTTTTTTTTAAAGCAAACTTTTCTGACTGCTAATCCCAGCACACGTGCCTCTCTCTCTTAGTCTTAAATCCCTTTTCCTCAGAATAACACATTCGGCTTCTATAACTCTCTGCCCTGGTTTATTTCCTTTTAGGAGTATATAAAAGGTACAAGTGTGAAGTATATGTAAATCCTTGGCCCCACCGTCATTTAGTCATAGACACTATCGCCACTGGCACATATGCACCCGACATGGAACACTGTACCCGGCAGGCTCCTGCTTTACCAGTACGTGCCCTCTCAGAGGAATGTTTCTCAACAGGGAGCGTTGCTAGTAAAATTAACTAGTTAACGGCTACTTCAAAATCTCTGTTTCCATTTTGCTTAACACTGCCTGTGAAAAGTTATGTAATTGCTGTTAAGAAAATATGTTTAGAAAAGGCCTCTGGAAATACTACCGGGTGTTGTGGTAATTGTTGGTGGTAGAAATTATGGCTGGGATGCATCCTTATTTCAAAATAAAGTCAGGGGTGTGTGACTGGCTCAGTCGGTAGGGTATGTGACTCTTAGTCTTAGGGTCCTGAGTTCAAGCCCCACTGGCCTAGAGCCCAGTTACAAAAATTAATAAAAATAAAATCATAATTTATAATTGGAACATGTTTAGGAAAAACTCCCAAAACCCTGAGACTACACATAAAGAAAAATAAGAGCCCCGGAGGAAAGCTACTAAATGTGCCATGTGGGAAGAGGTACAAAGCTTTACAAGAAAAATGGTCTGGAAGATGTGTGCTTCCGGGAGTCATAACAAGCGGCAAGGAGATGCAGCCACAGCTGGGGATCTCTTTGGGAGAACGAGGTGCCTTTCTGAGCCCCCGAGAGACCTGTGAAACTAGGAGTGTGACACAAGACAGAAACGTGTGTGGTTATGCCTGGCAGTGTGAGGCAGTGGGTATGGGGGCGGGGGGGGAGGGGTGAGGATTCCCTTTCCCTGACAGTGTGCCAATTACTTTTGATACAAGAGAATTTAATTGCTGAAAATTTTATGCTCTCATATTCTTAAAAAATATTTAGTAATCTCTATACTCAATATGAGGATCAAACTCTTGGTCCCTGAGCTACGCACGTACCCCTATGCTCTCAGCTTTGAAACGCTCGCGTGTTGTTTTGCTTCTCTTACAGGAGGAAGCGAGCAACTGGTACTTCCAGTGTTTATACTTTGTAGCTCCTTCAGCCCAGGAACAGACAAACAGAGCCAAGACTCCCTAAGACGGAAAGAAGCGGCCTATTTACTTGTCTTGGACCAGGTATGCTGTCCAGCTAGCGAGTGAAGGATAATTTTGGAAACATTGTTCATATGGACGTGAAATCAACGACTTCCTGGCAGATGGCAGCTAACACCAATGAAACCGGAGTCTGCAAAAGAAAAACAACCTGCCATGATAAACTCTTAACGACTCCCGGGGTAAGACCACACACAAATCACTCTGCAGCTGGCAACACTGATTTACTTGCCACACGGGAACTCAAAAGTGAAGCGGTGTGTGAGGTTATCATCAGTATGGCTCAGGAGAAAGAGCACTGGCCCAGAGGACTGGGGAGCTGTGCGTTAATGTCATCCACTAAGCCGCAGCTATAGGACTTCCCGGAAGTCCTTTCCCTCGTGGGCAGCTAGGTTTAGGTGACAGAGGATCCTTTGGAGCACGAGCGTTCTGTGACCTAGAGTTCTACACAGGCAAGCAAAAGGTTGGCCCTTGGCAGTGCCAGTTCAATGAACTATCTGGGGGGAACACAGTAGCCCAAGTAGCCTGGTATGGAGGGGGTCGTGGAACATAATCTGCCTAGGTCACCCGCGGTGCTTGTTGAGAGGGAAGTGCTGGGTCACTTTGGCTCAGGTATGGGTTGGGCAGTGGTGAGCCAGGGCTCACAAAGGAGGGCAGAACAGAGAGATGCATCCTCTTACAGAGCGATTAGTGCCAGGGGAAGACAAGTCACTCAGACTGAAGTTGTGTGTCACTTTCACAGATACCACAAAAGCGAGAGGGAAAGGAATGGCACCCGAGTCTCAGGGTCCAGAAGGCCAACACATGGCAGCCTACCTGACCTATAAGGGAGGTAGAATGTCAAAACCAAGGCTGATCGCGCTGGAATCCACATCCTGAACATGGCTTTATAAGCCACCTAGATTTTTCACATCTTTGGTAATGGATATTTTAGCGATGGGTGTGCTACTGAATGCCTCTTACACGTTTACACTGTAAAAGCAGTAAGAAAAATTCAAAGAGACCACCAACCATCACTTGGATACACAACTCATCTAAAACCCACTGAATACAACTCCAACAGAAGTCTGAGAGGCACCTGGGTGGCTCAGTTGGTTAGGTGTCCGACTTCGGCTCAAGTCGTGATCTCACACACAGCTCGAGAGTTCGAGCCCTGCACTGGGCTGTGCACTGACAGCACCGAGCCCGCTTTCTATACTGTCTCCCTCCCCGCTTACACTCTTGCTCGTTCTCTCAAAAATAAAAATAAACATTAAAAAAAAAGAAGTTTGAAGCACTTCCACATAGACATAGGGACTAAATGAGGGTAGGATATTCTACTAATGCGACGCCATTAACATGTTTCCTTCACCAGGCTGTTAGCTGCACGACCCTATCTGTGCTCCATTGTTTTCCCTGGCACACCTAGCACGGGAGTCTGCTGAGCCAATGGTTTTGATTATGTTTAGTCTTTTGTCCATTTTTGTTTTTAAGAGAGAGAGAACACACATGCATGCACGAATGGCTGAGGGGCAGAGGGAGAGAGAGAACCCGAAGCACGCTCCTTGCCCAGTGCATAGTCCAAACGCGGGGCTCGATCTCACAAACGACTGCGAGATTATGACCTGAGCAGCAATCAGGAGTCAGACATTTAACGGACTGAGCCGCCCAGGTGCAACCTATGTTTAGTCTTTTTATAGTAAGTTTTATTTATGAACATACAGAAAAGTCTGAAAAAAAAATCAAAGTTTCTCCCCAACATCTCCACCTGAATAAATTAGTAAATTAAGGAATTGAGTGTGGGTACACCTCAGAGCCAAGAGGCTATGAATCAAGAAACCACCACCACCAATTGATGGTTGCCTTTACCTAGAGTCAAATTACCTAAAAAAGAAAAACATAGCTCTTGAATGATACACCTGAGAGACTGAGCTATAAAGAGATGACCACTACCACGTCATGCTTCTACCCTTCACGCTAGCACAACTGTGGGTCAGGGGGTGATTTTTTTTCTCCCGGAACGAATGAAGCAAAGCCAAACTGAGGGAGACGGTCTATTAACACTACTGGGAATTAAGAGAGATCTGTACTGATCCACCACTGCCACTGATTTCAGGGAGATTCTGGAGGTGAAACGTGATTTCCCACACGGCTCCCCCAAGCTGTTCCCCAACCGATCTAGGAGCTCCAGCAAAAACCACAAGCGTTGTGTCTGGCCCGTCACTTCCCCCCACAGCACTGTATCAGCAAGTTCTGCACCTTCCCTTCGCCTCCACTGCTACCACCGTCAGCTCGCCATCCTCTGTCTCAAGACTTCCACAGCATCACTGGTCTCCATGGCCACTCTCATACCTTTACCGTCCACCCCACACACAGCTCCACACCGCGGTCAGGACATGGTCTTCAAACTGCAAGTCAGATCCTGTTGTGATCCTGTCGCCTTGCTTAAACCCCTCCTGCAGCTGCCTCCCTGTGTGTGATACTAAGAGTAACACCCCATTCCTGTGGCTGACAATGCCCTCTCCACTTCCCAGCTTTCGGCTCCTGCTGAAACCACTTAGCCGCCCCCACCCTCACCCTTCTTTTACTTCATTTGTGACATGCTGGTGTTTTCCTGATCCAGAAATATGCCGAACTCATTCCTGCCTCAGGACCTTTGCACATGCTGCTTCCGTTTCCTGAAACTTTCTTCTCCCAGATATTTGCATGATTGCTCCCTTTTGGATTTTGAGACCTCAGCAAAATGGTCACCTCCTCAGAGAGACCTTCTCTAGCCATCCAATCTAAGGTAAGCCTGTCTAGACACACCCCACAGTATCATGCAGTTTTAGTTTCTGCATCAGACTTATCAGTGTCTGCAGTCAGTTTGTGTCACTCTGCTTTTACTGTTGATCTCACACCCACCGAAATAAAAGCTTCCCACGAACAGGGACCTAATCTTCCCATTTATTATTGCATCCTCAGTTCTTCCAGAAATACTTGCTACTGCACAGGCATTCGATCATGCACTGAATGAGTGAATGAACTTGATGGAGATAATCATGCATGGAGAAAAACATTATATTAAAAATACCTTTTATGTTGGAAATATCAATATTGAGCTGTCCAAGTTTCTCACATGTTTTCTCTATACACTCATAGACAGATTGCAGGATTTCCTTTGGGTCTTGTTCCACCCATCTTTGAACAAAAGAATGTATTTGGTTAGTTCACAAGAAAGCAATACGAGTATAATTTATTTGTCTAGAAATACGCACTTATGCGGGTGTGGCTGGTGCATAAGTCAACAAAAATTAGACTAGCAAAGCAAAGCATAGCCAATATTCTTCTTTTTTTTTTTAAATATTTTTATTTATTTCTAGGAGAGAGAGAGAGACAGCGTGAGCAGGGGAGGGTCAGAGAGAGAGGGAGATACAGACTCTGAAATAGGCTCCAGGCTCTGAGCTGGCAGTCAGCACAGAGCCCGACGCGGGGCTCGAACCCACGAACCGCGAGATCATGACCTAAGCGAAAGTCGGACGCCCAACCGACTAAGCCACCCAGGCGCCCCAAAGCATAGCCAATATTCTAATGAAATAGCTTCAACAAAAGCATATTTTCCTTACATTTTTATTATTCTTTATATAGTAATGAATCATTTGGAAGAAGGCAAGTAATGACAGTCCACAAAAAGCACATATTCTACCTACTTTTACATAATTTTTTCAAATCCAGTAAGAGATCGGTTTCCCAATTTGTTACATCCTGTGGCTTTGACAAGTTTTGATAAACTATCTGCATGTTTACTACTCACTAGCTATTTCTAAGTAGGCTGAGATGTATATATATATATATATATATATATATATACACACACACACACACACACACACACACACACACCCCTTGGGATTGATGGATAGATGGATTTATCTACTATTTACTTATTTATTTGTGTATGTACTTATTTATTTATAAAGCAAAAGGAATCCTAAAAAGTCAAATAAGTATACTAAGGTCTTTTGCCTGTTTCGCCCAAAATATTTTCTTAAGATTTAGGGAAGAAATTTAAATTTCTTCCAGCAATTATTTCAAGTAGACAAGTGGTTGATTCCACTTTTCAGACCTGATTCTGGTGCCATTTTGGTAAGGTACGAGGACCTCGGAAAGAGGAAAGGCACATAATAAATGACAAGGAAGAGAAATGTGGAAAAAAAGACGGCAATTGAGGAAAACCACAAGCAGAAAGGGCCCAAGTTTTCCAAACCCTACCCTACAATCTGGAAGCGCAAGGCAATTCCAAAAGCCTTTGTTCTTTGCCTTCCTCCAGCCTGGATTCCTGAGCTTTGAGTTCTGCTTCTAATTTCTTTTTCTAAAAACCTAAACTCCATCCACATATTTCCAACTTCTGTCCCTCTAAGACCCAGGCGCTCTCTCTCCCCATTGGGCTGGGAGTAGGCCGGTGGACAGTCATTCTAATGCTGGTCCCATATCAGTATCTTTCATTGGTAAAGAAATTCTCCAAAATGGAGGAGAGCATTTTTCATGGAAAGAAAACACTAAAATTGGTAAGACACCAGTTTTTCTCTTTCTTAAATGGAATTAAACTTTAAAGTAAAATCAACAGATCAAAAGTATGCATTTTGTTGAGTTTTAACAAATATATGTACCCATCTAACCAACACCCCAGTCAAGATATAAAATATTTCTATCACTGAGAATTCTTTCATGATTCTTTCAAGTCAATCACATACTCCACAGGCAACCAATTTTTGATTCCTATCATCTTAGATTACTTTAGCCTCTTCTTAAATTTCAGATATAGCCATGTACACGTGCTTCTTGGTGTCCCGCTTCTTACACTTTTCATGATATTAGTAAGACTCAACCAAGTTGGTACATGCATCAGCTCGCTTTTTAAAGAATGCTGAATGATATTTCACTGTTACTCATTCTACTGATGACAGACATTTGGGTTGTTTCCAGTTTAGGCTATTATGAATAAAGCTGCTATAAACACTCATGTATATCTTTCTATAGCCATATGCTTTCAATTCTCTTGGACAGATTCCTAAGAGTATACGATGCTACAGATATATGGCTGATTTTATAAGAAACTGCCACACAGTTTTTCCCAAGTGGTTATATCGTAAACATCATTAAATGTTCAATAATATACTTAACATTCTATTTAATCACAACTACCAGATACGTACGTTATTCCTAAGGATGACTGTGGCCATGAGGTGATAAGATACGTGAATGCTTTTTCAAAAAACAGGTATCTTCACTTAAGGAAAAACCCTTCCACTCAAATCAGCAAAGCAGTGGTTGGCAGTGATGGAGACACAGAACTAAAGGACTTAAGGTCAATGCGGGCTTTCTGATATTTAATACTCCTTTGCCTTACAACCTTATTATGCCTTCCTTTCCTGTCACTGGATTCCAAAGCAATCAGTCAATCACTCACATGTTTTTGCTGAGCCACCAAGGCATTGTTTCTTTCCCTGACTGAAAACTATCCCTCCAATCTCCTCAGGAGAGGTTTGGTCAAGTAAACTTTACAAAGCCACAGGGCACGTAAAGTGAGATACAGTAATAAACACGAGGTACCTTTACATATTAAACCAGGAAACATACCCTTCTCTTGGAAATTCTTGTTTTATTTCCACTTGATGGTGACTAAGTAGTTCAGCTGTTTTTGAATTGAAGACCTGAAAGACATATTGCAATGTTAGCGTGAAAAGGCAGGTAGAGAGCAAAGATGCTTACAGCTAACCAGCTACCAAAGTTCCTAGTCAGTGACAGGAAAAGTCTAATCAGATGAAATGCCAGAGAAGACGTTCTACCTTCTCTTCAGATAGAATCATGATAACAAATCTAGTGAAGGTGAGGCTAAAGAGGCAATTCCTTAGTCTTTAAAAAAAAAAAAAAAAAACTGGCTCCAGATACAGGAAATTTCATGCATCGACCAATTAATAGTATGGATCTCAACCAATAGTATGGATCTCAAAAGAGAATGGGAAAACCAAGAATAAAAGAGTTGGCAAACACTGATAGTGACTGTATAAGGCTCCATTCTGCTTCCACCTTGGAAGGGGAGACACACAGAGTCATAGATAGCCAGGCAGGGAAGGGCATTGCGTCAAGTCCTTTGAAGGAAAGTACCCCCAATGAATCTAGCTCTTATAAAGGTAAACAGAGCCATATCAACAGGCAGAGAAGTGTATCCCAGCATCCATTTGGCTGAGTGCTCTCTGCTACATACTTGCCATGAATTGTTGACCCTTGGTACAAACCATGAAAACCAATGGATCAAAGCTACCAAAGCAGTGCTATACGATCTCCACAATTTTTTTTTAAATGTTTTATTTATTTCTAGGAGAGAGAAAGAGAGAGAGACAGCATGAGCAGGGGAGGGTCAGAGAGAGAGGGAGTCACAGATTGAAACAGGCTCCGGCTCTGAGCCGGCAGTCAGCACAGAGCCCGACGCGGGGCTTGAACCCATGAACCGCGACGATCTCCACAATTTTAATACTACTAAAACAATACTTTAAAAAAAGTTGGTAATCTTTCCTCATATATATTTTCACCTGTGCGTACCTCTACTTGAGTACCAAGCACTTAAGTCTTTCAGAGTAAGGATTCCTATTTTAATTAAACTCAACTTCTGAAATCACTGTAATTATAGCAGTAAAGTTACATCCAATTAGGTAAGTGTTTCCATGCCTAAGTTTCCTGTGGGAGAAAATTACCTGTTCACTGTGGTCTAAGGGAAAGTAAGAAGAGAAAACACCCCAGGGCCACTGCTGCGCTCTCTCCCCAGCACACTACCTTCCTTTGGGGGAGGAAATGAGAAATATAATGAAAGCAAAAACATACATATTCTCAAGTCCTGAGAGGAGATAAAATATCTTGGAAGTCAAAGGTTAACTTGACATGTCATAAGTAAAAGGCACTTCACAGAACCCTAAATGACACCCCCTTGATTTACAACTTAGTATGAGGGTACACCTCTAGGATGTTCACTCCATTTTTCCTGTTTTATTTGCTGGAATATCTCTAGGGCTTAGAATAGTGCCTGCCAGAAGGTTGACACTCAATAAAGATTTGTTTTTCTTTTTTATTTTTTAATGTGTTATTTATTTCTGAGAGAGAGAGAGAGACAGTGTGAGCAGGGGAGGGTCAGAGAGAGAGGGAGACACAGAATCTGAAGCAGGCTCCAGGCTCTGAGCTGGCTGTCAGCACAGAGCCCGATGTGGGGCTCGAACCCATGAGCTGTGAGATCATGACCTGAGCCGAAGTTGGACGCTTAACCAACTGAGCCACCCAGGCGCCCCAATAAATATTTGTTTAATGTCTGAAAAGTTATGGTCCATCAGGTACTTATTAGGAGAAAATAACCAAAATCAAATGAGAAATGGTTATGCGGCAGAAAAACTCTAATAGGAAACCACAGTTGTATTATTTTTATTCATATTACCACTACTCCCAGGGTCAACTCGCAAATCCCCAAAGGATTTGGGGTTAAGAGACAAGGTGTCCCTTGTGGTTGGCCTGATTCATAAAGACCTAAATAGCAGACCTATGGAGCTCTGAACGGAGTAAGATCCTACTTTCAACACCTACTAGTTTTAACTAGGCTAACGTCAGGACCCTCACACTAATAATGGGTTTGTAGACCTTTGGAAGAAGCACAGAAAAGGGTTGAATTTTGTTAAGTTCTATTTGGATTACTAGACTGCGATGCCAGAGATCACACAGCATTTGGACATAACAGGATGAAGCCTGGCCTTCCCTCCTTCTCCAGAGCTCTGAAACCATGCAGAACACGGACACCACCTTTAGGTGTTTAGGATCTGACCCTGGGCAACACTTCCAAGTTTGTGGGACAATTTCTAGCTTTAATATTTGTAGATCTTCAGCTTTCTTAGTGTTGCACTGTCCAACAGAAATATGACATGAACCATGTACAGAATTTTAAATCTTTTGAAAACAAAACAGTAAAAAGGGGCAGGTGAAATTAATTTTAATAACATTGTACTTAAGGCAATATATCTAAAAAATTAGCATTCTGACATGTGATCAGTAAAAAAACTATTGAGGAGATCTGTTACGTTTTTTAGAAGTCTCTGAAATCTGGTATATATTTAATGCCTATGGTCCAGCTCAATTTGGGCTAATCACACTGAAAGCGATCATAGCCACATATTGCTAGTGGCTACTGGACAGAGAGAGTGCTGTTTTTCTCACACATCTAGGTTCATGTTTAGAGTTTTTTAAAAAAAAATTTTAACATTTATTCATTTTTGAGAGAGAGACAGAGGATGAGCGGGGAGGGACAGAGAGAGAGGGAGACACAGAATCCGAAGCAGGCTCTAGGCTCTGAATGGTCAACATAGAGCCCAATGTGGGGCCTGAACCCATGAACTGTGAGATCATGACCTAAGCCAAAGTCTGACACTTAACCGACTGAGCCACCCAGTTGCCCCTCATGTGAAGAGTTTTAATGACTGTCCATTTGTCTGCAGATGGACAAAAGTACAAAGAAAGCTAACGATGTTTCCACAATACTTTCTGCCTGGAAGGTTACTAACCCTTTAAGAGAACACAATGCCTAACAGCCAGAAGGCTCATCTGATCTTTTCCAGTAGACTTCAAAAGCCGTTGTCAACTAAAGATGGCAGTGGCTATATAGTTTTTTATAAAAGGTCAAGCATGGTCATTTGTTTAAAACTCATTAGGTTGCACAGGAGAAAGACCCCAGAATTACAGATGCTCCTCATGTCTTTTTCTCCCCTTTCAAATTTGAAACTCACCAAATTTAAAAGTCAGTTAAAACTTCAGATGGTGGCTCAGCTGGTTAAGCGTCTTCAGCTCAAGTCATGATCTCATGGTTTGTGGGTTTGAGCCCTGCGCTGGGTTCCTCGCTGACAGCTTGGAGCCTGCTTGAGATTCGCTGTCTCCTCTCTCTCTCTCTGCCCCTCCCCTGCTCGTGTCCTCTCTCTCTCTCAAAAATAAGTAAACATTTAAAAAAATCCTTCAGGTGCACAAGGGCATAGAATCAAAGGCGCTCCTTAGGTAAATTAATTAGGAATATTTGAAGGCAGAAAGACTCTCCGGTTGCTGGAAGAGATCCTCAAGATCCCATGGGCCAACCTTTCCAAAAGGCGCTCCCTGGGTGTGTGGAGCCCTTCAGGAGCTGGGAACGAGGCCTAGGGAGCTCCTGCTGAGCCCCTGGGCCGCGTCCTGCCTTAGATTTCACATTTTATCGCCTCCAGCTTCCAGATTTGGACCTATCCAGAAAAGAGCTTAACAATGGAGCTCCAAGACAAAAAACACAACACAACACAACACAAACTGAAACCCACGGCCCTACTAGAATGCTCTCGTATTTACAAAAGAGAGCCCCAAGAAGTTGTATGATGCGGACAAACAGGGCTCAACCCTGGGTTTTCTAAATGCTAATTCAGTGCTTTTCCAGTACAAAATCGTGCTAATACTCCTTTTTCACCTTCCATTAAGTGGCAGCAAATACAAAGTCTTAGGACATAAAAGGAGAAAAGGCCATCGATCTCAGACTTGTGGGGGGTCTGAGACGGGCTATCCGAAGAAGTAAGTTCTAGACCGAGACTTCAAGTTGACTAGAAGGGAGTGTGTGATGGGCAGGGAGGGGAGGGGAGAGCAGCCGCCAGGTGTCTGTGGGGAACCGGGGGATCCAGGGGGACCCAGTGGTCTCCAGGGGAGACAGCTGAGGGCTCCGGTCCGAGGGCCAGCAGCCATGGGGACTGAAAGAAATGAAGTGCACTCCTGAGAGATTTAAACAGCGATTAGATGCGACAAGGGCTTGGATGGAGAGGAGTAAAGAAAAAGGCGGAACACTCACGGATGACAGGGGACAGGCTAGCTGCAGTGTTTACCAGACAAAGGACAGGGCAGGAACAGCAGTGGTGGCCCAGAACGGGGTTAAGGAGATTGCAAAGTTCATTTTCGATCACGCGTTGTTTGGGGTGTTACTGGGGCACATATGGAGAGAGGCCGAGCTCGCCGTTGCTTCTATCTGAGGGCTTCAGCTTAAAGAAAGAGCTCGGTTCAGGTTACAAACTTGGAACTAGTAGATCAATTCTGGAGATCTAATGCACAGCAGAGTGAGGGCAGCCAACAAGACTGTATTATAAACAGCAAAGTTGCCAAGGGGCTAGATCCTAATTGTTCCCACCACAAAAAAGAAATGATAATTATGTGACGTGAAAGAGGTATCAACGCTACCAGGAGTAACTGTATTATGATACATAAATGTATCAAACAACACTGTGTGAGTCTTAAACTTATACTATGTTGCTCAGAGCCTGAAGCCTGGTTCGGATTCTGTGTCTGCCCCTCCCCTGCCTATGCAGGCCGCACTCCCTCCTACCCTCCCTCTTATGCGTGCAAATAAACAAACATTAAAAAAAAAAAAAAAAAACCTCTTGGGGCGCCTGGGTGGCTTAGTCGGTTAAGCGTCCGACTTTCGCTTGGGTCATGATCTCGCGGTTCGTGGGTTCGAGCCCCGCGTCGGGCTCTGTGCTGACTGCCAGCTCAGAGCCTGGAGCCTGTTTCAGAGTCTGTGACTCCCTCTCTCTCTGGCCCTCCCCTGCTCACGCTGTCTCTCTCTCTCTCTCTCTCCTAGAAACAAAAAAAATTAAAAAAAAAAACACCTCTTTTAAAAAAAGAA